ATAAATGATAGGAGTCATTTTGTTTTGGTGATCGAGACACTTAGTGAGTGTGATCACATTTAAGATCGATAGTCGTACTATTAAGAGGGGTGAAACTCGTATCGGAATGCAGTTATCAAAGTGCCACTCGATGCTCTAACTCATTGCATATGCATTTAGGATCTAGTGGAGTGCTAAAGCCCTTGAAAATGTTTATGCAAATATGCTAACACATGTGCACAAGGTGATACACTTGGTGGTTGGCACATTTGAGCAAGGGTTAGGAAACTTCACCGGCGGAGTGTCCACCCATAGAGTGCGGATAGTCCGACAGTGCCACCGGCGCCCTAGAAAGAAAAGACGGAGGTCACAACAAGTGACCAGACGCTGGCCTCGGTTGGACCGGCGTGTCCAGTCAGTGGCCGCAGAGGGCGTGCGTTTCGGTCTTCGACCGGACGCTGGAGGGGTGTGTTCGGTCAGTGCTGACGTACACTGACGCGGGGCGTACAGAGAAGTCACCATGTGATCGGACGCTGGGTGTGTTCGGTCGAGCATGACTGGATGCGTCTGGTCGTGAAAAATCATCTCTGGATGCTTACTGGAAACGACCGGACGTTGGGGTTCAGCGTCCGGTCACTTTGAGCTGTTGCGTCCGGTCGTCACTTGACCGTTGGGATCGGGCGCTCAGTATTTGGAGAGAGGGGACACGTGGCATGCATCACACGACCAGACACTGAGGTCCAGCGTCTGGTCAATCTGACCAGAGCGTCCGGTCGGCCCGTGTTTAGTGCAATGAGGAGCCCAACGACTCTATTTCGTGGGGGCTTCTATTTAAGCCCCATGGCCGGCTCAATCTCACTCTCTTGGCCATTTCCATTGATATAGCAACCTTGTGAGCTTAGCCAAAGCCCTCCCACTCATCTCCATCATTGATTCATCATCTTTGTGAGATTGAGAGAGAATCCAAGTGCATTGCTTGAGTGTTTGCATCTAGAGGCACTTGGTGTTCGTATTTCGCTGTGGGATTCGCTTGTTATTCTTGGTGGTTGCCACCACCTAGATGGCTTGGAGTAGCAAGGATCATCGAGCAGAGAGTGGTGATTGTCTCTGGCTCGATCGTGGTGATTGCGAGGGGTGCTTGACCTTTCCCCGGTGGAGAGCCAAAAGGTACTCTAGTGGATTGCTCGTGGCTTGTGTGATCCTCATCTTGTGTTGGTTGTGCGGCACCCTATTAAGGGTTTGGCGTGAAATGCCAATTAGTGCGTGAACCTCTAAGTGAGTGAATCACCACAACGAGGAGTAGCTTGCCGGCAAGCAAGTGAACCTCGATAAAAATCATTGTGTTCATCATATTGATTCCGAGGTGATTGGTCTTCATTGGTATTTACTCTTGTGATTGATTGGATCCTTCCTTGACACGGTGGTATAAACAAATTGCTCACTCTCTTTACATTACCGCAAACTAGTTGTCAAGCTCTTTAGTGTAGCTAGTTGTGAGAGCTTGTTAGGTTGGTTAGTGTGGCTCTTTAGTTAGTCTTTGAGAGCACACTAACTTAGTGTAGTGACATAGCTATTGTGTGGATAGAAACTATATAAACTAGAATTGTGGTAGGTGGCTTGCATTTTTAGTAGGCTAGCGCAACACTTACTTCACCTCATAATTGTCTAACCGATTTGTTAAGTGTTGTTCTAGAATTTTTGTTAGGCTATTCACCCCCCTCTAGCCATTAGGACCTTTCATCAGTGTCAAGTATGAACCTGACTGGAACACTTAGTGCAAAGAACTCCTAGACCTCAGAAATTTCGAACCCCGTTGGAAATTCTAGTTAATAAAAGGTAGTTCTACAAAGACCTTGGTTGAAATTCCAACCCCAAAGATTTACATGTTCATTTCGATATGCACTAGTCCAGTATGGCCACCAAGGTAGTTCCTTTGAGGCACCTCTCTCACTCAAATCTCACATGGGTTGACTTGAGCATTGTAAATATCATCACGTTGCATCCCTCTTAATAGTATAATATACATATAACTCAAGATTAAATGGAAAACAACCAACAAGTTCATTTTCGGGTTTTTCAGTTCATTCTTTGCTCCAAACCAAACATATAGCACAGAGAAGATAGAGGGATAAAACACATCGCTAGTCAGAGAAGCGCGTCGCGCACTGCCTCACTATGTCGCGACCATAAGCCCTGCCACCCCGCGCGAGCCCTAGAGCGCACCCCGCCGTCAAGTAGTCGCACCGTCCCGCGCAAGCTACAAGCGCACCCCCATCGGCCACTGTTGAGCAGCCACCCCACCGCTGCACGGCCGTGCCCTCACCAGTCACCGCCCCACTCGACGCAGGTGCACCACCATTGCTGAGGTGTCGGCCGCCGTCGCCATCCAATTCTACGAGGATTGAGGGTGAGGAAAGGACCGATCTAGATCTTAGGAGGAAGAAAGGAGTCGGCTTCGATGTGCTTGGTTTTTCTATTTTGAAGTGGAACAGGGGTTGCAGGGCTAGGGTAGAGGAAGGCCTGGGATGGCTCGGATTAGTTTCTAGGTTTTTTGTTTGGTTGGGAGCTAGCTTCGAAGTCGAAGCTAATAACCAAAGATATCGGGTACTAAAAGCGAAGCCAAAACTGAAATCCGAAAGACCAACATTTCGGCTCGGTTCCGCTCAGTTCGATTTTTGGTTTCTCGTTTAGAAGTGCCTGGTCGTAGAGTTACACAACACTTGTAACCATATAACTGATGCTAATATTTTACCTACACAATTCCAAATCTTATATTATATATTTGACACTCTAAGAGAGCATTTTCTCAGTGCGCAGACCGTAGGGATTCTTTGACAGGGCATGATTGCCTATGTGTAAATTTGAGCAAACAAATTGAGGAAAACTACAAGTCTACAACTAAAGGTTCTAGCCTCAGTTGCTACAGAACGAGAAGTGATGTTTTGACTTTTGTGAACTTAGTACACATGATGTTACACATCTATCTCGATCTTGAATTCTATTAATAAAATGTTTCAACATCAAGTTTTGTGGTCCTGATGTGTTCTGAAGGGTGGATCTACAGGGCCTGTTTGATATAGGGCACAGGGGTGGCCGAGCCCGTCAGCCAGGCCCAGGCTAGCCACGACCTGGTCCAGAGCACACACAAGGGTGTGTTTGATTTCCTACAGCTGGGGAGGCAGCTCAGGAGAGGCTGTCTTTGTTTTCTTCCAGCTAGCCTGGCCCAACACCAACTACCTCCAACTACCAGACGGAGATAGTATTTGATTTCAGCCAGGCTAGCCATAGGCTAAATACCAGAACCAGCAGTGTAGAGAAAACAAGAGCAGATTTGAGAATGCAAATATGATCAGACAAGAGGATACAACAACAGCAATGTGAATTTGATCAGATTGGCCTCAGACTAATTAGTGTTGCCATGTATTAATTAATCATAGCTGCCTCTAGATATTTAAAAACCAATGTGACAGAGAGATCAACAGCACAAATGTGAGTTCAGTATATACAACATTTGTCCAAAAGCATAACCAGCTAAGACATGGGTTCACGAGACATAGAACAAAAGCATAAAGGCAGCTAATGAAGCCTAGGTTGTTGTCATCATTGGCCTACACATTGCAATTACACGAGGGAGACTTGTTTACCTTCTGCCAAATAGCAAACAACATCACACAAAGGGCCAATATAAGCACATTTTTCCAACTTCCTAGCTTACCATCAGTTGCACCATTAGGCATAGCAGCACTATGCCTATGCTGTTGTTTCTGGGACCCTCTTTGAAGCTCTCTAGATGCATTGTAATCAAGTAGAGCCTGATCATAGTTTTTGTACTTCTTATACCTAGCATCAGAGTACCCAAGCACTTGAAGGCTGCATTCATGCCAAGTCCAGTAAATCCTAGGGATCCTCCCCTCAAAAACCACATAGCAAGGGGCCATTTGCTATCAAATTAAAAAGTTCATTAGCCTCAGTCAAATATAAATCATGAAACAAGCCATGAGTGTGGCATTGAAGATCTTGGGATTGAGAGAAGAAGCAACCCATGATCCTAAATGCCACACCAATGAGGTGGTTCATCTTGATCAACTTAAATTGTTGACATCATAGGCTTTAAAAAATGGTGGCCTCAGTTGTAGAATTTGGTGCTGCAATTCATGTAAGTACTCATCACAGGTGGCTGCACATGTACCAAACAAGTCCAGAAAAAGCAGCAAGTTTGATAATGCAAATAAGTAGGAACACAACATCAAGGCTGCCATGGAACCCATCTGGCCATCCATTCTCTGTCGTCATCCAAGTGGTGTTGCTAGAGAATGGATGGTTCAAATGGATTTGATGACAGTCATGAAAACCAACAAGAACAAGCCATGAAAAACAATAACAATAGGAAATAGTTGTGTAGCCACCTCATAGTTTATTTCACATTTTGCATCATAGGCCAGATCAAAACCCACTCTAGGCGCCAAGTCATGGAAACACAGATATGAAATCCAACAAATGATAGAAATATATGAAAGCATGACATAAAGATTGAAACAAGGCCATTCCCAAGATCATGAAGGCCATGAAATCCATGGGCACATTCATTCATTGCCATCAGCATGGTATGACTATGCTATTGCTAGGGAATGGATGTGTCCCATGGGTTCAATGACACCCATGAACAACACAATGTAATACAGTCCTCTCAAAGCAACAAGAACATAAAGTGACAAATAAACTAGTAGTAGCGGTAACCAACATAGGTTACTAATTAATACATCAAGTTTGTGTACAAATAAAGCTTCAACCCACAACAAGTAGGCACATAAGTGAACTACCAAGTTACACTTGGTCAGATATAGCTAGCCACCCTCCTACTATGCAAACCCTAAAGGACAGGTGCTGGTCAGCCATCTACCATGCACGTGAGCTACACCAAAATGGAACCCAAAAGAGAAGAGAGTGGGTGAGGGAGGTGGAGAAACTATACGTCTCAACAGTCAACCCCCTCTTTGTCTTGTTGTCCTAGGTGGACAGGACTACATATAGTAGTTCTTGGCTAGGTAGTTCCTCAGCCAAATGTCCCTATGGTTGTCTGACATGCTCACAAAACCCCTGTCAAGGGCCTTGTTTTTTAGAAGGTAGGTGTAGGCAACAATGAGAGCTTCATCAGTAAAGACCTGCATCTCCATGACTACAAAATAGAGGTCAGGATCCACATGTGCAGGCCCAGTCTCTCTAAGTCCACTGGCCACATTGTTGATAGCATCTGTCATGTTAGTCATCATAAGCATCTCTTCCTCACTAAAATTTCCCCTCTTCCTCTTTACCCCAACAGTGGAAGTCAGCAGGTCAGTAGACGTGCTGCCCTCACCAATCTCAGGGTTGGCTTTGACATCAGCAGTAGTGGTGAAGCCATGGCCCTCTATGTTAGCAGCAACACTGTCAACATGGTTCACCCTAAGTGGCTCACTAGAACCTAGGGCAAACCTACCAATGGCCATAGAACTACCAAATATGGTCTCCATCTCAGTGTAGAACCTGATTGGGGTGTTCAGAAATTTAGCATCCTTAGGATGGTCCTACAGTCATGTGAGCTTAATTAAATAAATAGGGAAGGAGAGAAATTGTGGGTAGAAGAGAAACAGGGAAGAAGAGAAACAGTGAATTGACTCATTTTCTACCTTGCAGTGGCCTAGGTAGTGCTCAGGTTCTAGCATTATGGCATTGACATCATGATCAAATAGTGCACCACTAAGGTCCTTCAACTTCACAACCCTATCCCACTTCTGCCTCCACTTTCTTAAGTGATTGTACACTTGAGTAGGGCTCATAGCTTCACCATAGTACTCCTTGAGAGCCTTTGCCACATAGTTCACATCCTTGTCCTTGAAGCAATTAACAGTCTACTTCCATCAGACGCTATCTAGGCCATCCTCCTAAGGACAAACCCAGAGGTGTTGTTATTCCACCTCATGGGGGGGCTAGCACCACCAGCACCCCCCTGGGTAGGCACTACCTCAGGTGCATCAGCCCCCACATCAACCACCTCAGGTGCAGCAACAGCCCTAGCTAGCCTAACACCAGCCACAACAGCCATGTCAGCAACTACCACAAACCTAGCCATCCTAATAAGGTCACCATCCAATACATGAAGGCAAGTATCAACAACAGATAATATATGAAGAATAGGTAGAAGATGAACAAGACATAGATGATGAACAACAGATAAAAGATATACAATAGTTAGGTCTCAGTCATATTCAATAGGCTCATTTATGAAAATCAAATGAATTTGATGATTATATGGTACCACTATTGCTTCTATGCTTAATTTGGTCTAGTGGTAGCATATGACATGTTTATGGGCTTGTAAACCTAGTGTTTGATCTAGAAAATGAGCTCTAAGTGTTTAACTCAACATGGTACAAGATAACCCTTATTTGGATGTGTGAAGAAGCTTGTCCTTAGATCAAACCGAGTTAAATGTCTTTGGCAAGTATTCTAGATTGAACCAAATTTGGGAAAATAATCCTCACCCCATTGATTGACATCGATAATCTCAACCTATCTATATTTTGAACCTTTGTGGTCATTGATGACAAAGGGGGAGAGAAGCAAAGATATTAGTACATGGGGAGAAAAACAAAGATATTAGTGTACTAAGATAGTGAAAAGACAACAAAGGGGGAGAATTTGACATAGGGGGAGAAATATGACAAAGGAAAGGGATCAATTAAAATTTTGAACACACAAGTAGGGGGAGCAAGCTCATAAACTTGTATGATGTATTTGAATGTGCATTTCATATGTTTGCTTGCATGGCACAAGTTTTAAATTTTAATATCCATGCTTGTGTGGTGTATGCTAGTTGTAGGTTTGAATGATGAAATGAAAATCTAGCATGCATAAGTTTATCTAGTGATTTCATTTCCAAGTGTTTCCAAGTGGTATCGAGCTAACCGTGGTGCTAAGGATGGTATAATGGTGCACTCCGATTGGTATCATGCTTCAAAGGTCTATCTTTTATACCTTAGCGTTATTTGGTAGACATTGTCTCCTATATTTTCTATCTAAGCATATATGCAAGCTTCAATCCAAACTCTTAGCACATATGTAGGGGGAGCAATTGCTACCATATGGAGTTCATGAAACTTGTCCATATCCTTTTACATATAGTAAATATGCTTGGACAAGCAACATGGATTCAATTGAATTTTAATTCATATCTTTGTAAAAGGGTTGTCATCAATTACCAAACAGGGGGAGATTGAAAGCTCTAGTTTGGTTTTGGTGAATTGATGAAACCCTAAGTGCTAACATAGTTTATCAAGTGATCATGAGATAGGTAGCACATTCCAAGTGGTGAAGCAAATGAAGATCATGACATGATGATGGTGATGCCATGGTGGTGAACAAGTGCTTGGACTTGAAAAGAAGAAAGAGAAAAACAAAAGGCTCAAGGCAAAGGTATAAATGATAGGAGCCATTTTGTTTTGGTGATCGAGACACTTAGCGAGTGTGATCACATTTAGGACCAATAGCCGTACTATTAAGAGAGGTGAAACTCGTATCGAAATACGGTTATCAAAGTGCCACTAGATCCTCTAACTCATTACATATGCATTTAGGATCTAGTGGGGTGCTAACACCTAGGAAAATGTTTGTGAAAATATGCTAACACTTGTGCACAAGGTGATACACTTGGTGGTTAGCACATTTGAGCAAGGGTTAGGAATTTCACCGGCGGAGTGCCCGCCCGTAGAGTGCGGATAGTCCAACGGTGCCACCGACGCCCTAGACAGAAAAGACGGAGGTCACTAAAAGTGACCGGACGCTGGCTTCGGTTGGACCGGTGCGTCCGGTCAGTAGCAGCAGTAAGCGCGCGGTCTCGGTCTTCGATCAGACGCTAGTGCTAAAAGTGACCGGACGCTGGCAGGGTGCGTCCGGTCAGTGCTGACGTACGATGACGTAGGGCGCACAGAGGAGACGTTGAGTGACCGGACGCTAGGTGAGTCCGGTCAGGCATGATTAGACGCGTCCGGTCGTGAAAATTCGCGTTTGGAACCTTACTGAAAACGACCGGACGCTGAGGTCTAGCGTCCGGTCACTTCACAGCAGTGCGTCCGGTCATCTCTTGACTGTTGAGATCGGGCGATCAGCGTTTGAAGAGAGGGGACACGTGGCACGCATCGCGTGACCGGAGCGTCCGGTTGGCCCGTGTTCAGTGCAGAGAGGAGCCCAATGGCTCTATTTCATGGGGGCTTCTATTTAAGCCCCATGGCCGGCTCAAGCTCACTCTCTTGGCTATTTGCATTGACATAGCAACCCTGTGAGCTTAGCCAAAGCCCTCCCACTCATCTCCATCATAGATTAAACATCTTTGAGAGATTGGGAGAGAATCCAAGTGCATTGCTTGAGTGTTTGCATCTAGAGGCACTTGGTGTTCGTGTTTCGCTGCGGGATTCACTTGTTACTCTTAGTGGTTGCTGCCACCTAGACGGCTTGGAGCAGCGAGGATCATCGAGCGGAGGTTGGTGATTGTCTCCGGCTCCGATCGTGGTGATTGTGAGGGGTTATTGACCTTTCCCCGGTGGAGAGCCAAAAGGTACTCTAGTGGATTGCTCGTACCTTGTGTGATCCTCATCTTGTGTTGGTTGTGCGGCACCCTATTGAGGGTTTAGCGTGTGATGCCAATTAGCGCATGAACCTCCAAGTGAGTGAATCGCCACAACGAGGAGTAGCTTGCCGGCAAGCAAGTGAACCTCGGTAAAAAATCATTGTGTTCATCATTTGATTCCGAGATGATTGGTCTTCATTGATATTGATTCTTGTGATTGATTGGTTCACTCCTCGACACGGCGGCATAATTATCTTGCTCTCTCTCTTTACATTGCCGCAAACTAGTTATCAAGCTCTTTAGTGTAGCTAGTTATGAGAGCTTGTTAGTTTGGTTAGTGTGGCTCTTTAGTTAGTCTTTGAGAGCACACTAACTTAGTGTAGTGCCATAGCTATTGTGTGGTTAGAGACAATAGAAACTAAAATTGTGGTAGGTGGCTTGCATTTTTAGTAGACTAGCGCAACACTTGCTTCGCCTCATAATTGTCTAACCGTTTTGTTAAGTGTTGTTGTAGAAATTTTTATTAGGCTATTCACCCCCCTCTAACCATTAGGACCTTTCAACTTCCTAAATGACTAATGAACTACCCTGAACCTCTGGTTGTGACCAACCACATGGAGAAACATTACAACCTGCTCCTCAACAGAACACCCACTGGTTTCTAGAACTAGGCCTCTACCTCTAAAAAGGTTGCATAGAGCAAAAAAAGGAGCTCTGGTCATACGCAACATAGCCAGACACTCAGCATCAGGGCTGTTGAATATCATTTGGAGGGTTTCTAGCCTATGCTACTGGCTTAAAGGCCTAGGACCATAAGGTACAGGCTCAAGTTGGGCCCTAATTCTTCTAAGTCTAGTGACAAAAAAGGATAGCATAACCACAACCATGGCAGTTGCTTGCCTGACCATCATCTCACGCTGTGCAGTTGGATCCATCTACAAGCATTCAACATTCATAGATACATCTCAGTTCTAGTAGACCCTGGCTGGCCTCAACATGAAAGTGCTATCATTCACAGCAAGATAAAATAGCATGGCTGCATAACAAAAATGCCTCCAGTGAATTGGACATATTCATCATCGACCATATGAAAGAACTAACATTTCAGCAGAAACTTAAAGCAGCTACAAACATAAATAGCACGGCTGCATAAACAAAAATGCCTCAACTGCAGTGGACAGATTCATCATCGACCATTTCAAAGTACCAACAATGGAGCATACATGTTTCAGTGCTCGAAATCAACATTCATAGCAACTAGACTAGCATCATGGACCCAACTATCATTCCACAGGCAGAAATCAAAACCAATAAAGGGCAAGACCAAACCCTAGAATCAAAGCAAAGGGGATTAGGGGTGGATTTCACCTCGGGGAAGTCGACGGTGACTGGAAGAAGCGCAAGACGGAGAAGAGGTAGCAGATCTGGTACGGGACGAAGCAGATCGACCCCAACCAAGACCAGCCGCACCACCACAAGACGGAGAAGTCGAAGGAGGAAGACGACCGTGTCCACGGAGCCTGGCAGGAGGCGCAGCAGCGCCGCGGCCAAGCGGCGCCAAACCGGCTGAACGGAGACGAAGACCGGAGAGGAAGAAGACCGCCGCGCAGCACCACCACCACAGCAACACTGCCGGTCACTCAACGCGAACGCAGTGGGGAGAGATGGGGACGACGGAGCTAGAGGAAGGAGAAGAAGGCAGCGGGGGAGGAGGGCGGCTTATAAAGACAACGGATTTCGCCGAGGAGCGCGGGAGGAAGATTCATGGTTCCCGCACGAGCCCGCGTGAGCTGCCGCCGCCGGCCTGAAATTGCCCACGCGAGGACGGAGAGAGCCTGGCTCGGGAGAAATGAACCCTAGGGGCGTTTCCCCGGGTACAGGAGAGAGAGAGGCCATTTTGCACGCCAGGAACCAGGCCGGGATCTAGGCCAACTAAATCAAACAGGCCGGGTAGCAACTGGAGGGCGCAGGCCACCCCCTGGGCTCTGTATCAAACAGGTCCACAATGAACCAGGCCATATCTGGCAAACCTCCAAGCTACCAAACAGCCACAACCTGCTTACATATATACCACGGGCCAGGCCATATCTGGCTAACCAAAAGGCCCTATATAATTCCTTGTCTGACCGGCCTTCGCCAACACCTCCTCCCTTCTCCTTTTGTATCAACATGAATGAAATTGTATGAACATAGATTGTAATATGCTTTCCGGGTCTCTGTATTGTTTAAGGATTGCTGGTTCTTTTCATCAAAACAGTGAGTAAACAACTAGAGGATTGCTGGGTCTTTGTATCTCTTAAAAATATCATCAATGCCGTCAAGAACTTCTTGTGGTAGAGGCCGTGGAGCGCTGGTAAATGCATCGATGTTCTCCTTTAAATGATCCATGGTGGTTGCTCCAATGATGGAGCTAGTGGTGAATGGACGGTCACGCACAAAGCCGAGGGCAAGCTGGACTGGAGTTAGCCCATGCTTCTTGGCAAGCCTTATGTACTCATTTGTCGCTTCCTGCCATACAAAGTTAACCAAAGTAAATTGAAATGCATACCAACGCTCAAGTTCGAACGGTCAGGGCACAAACAAATTATTTGTAGTATATAGCATACTTGAGCCAAAGAGGCATTGTAGCGAGCCATGAATCCAGGGAAGATATTTAGCCTGCTGCCCTTTGAGATTCCTGTGTCAGCATCAAGATACTTCCCAGTGAGAACCCCACCAGCCAATGGGGAGTTGGCAAGCAGTCCAATATTGCAGTTATGCGGGTGGCAAACTTCAACAAGATCAGCTGTGATGGAATAAAAGGTGATTAATAGACAGTTGTTGGCCTCATCAGTTTGCACATGAGAGCCTAAAGCAAACATGTTTTACCAGATAAATTTTTGGTACCTAATAGCACAAAATCTGGATTCCCCTTTTCAGCAATACCTCATAATAATAAGAAGAAGAAGAAAACACTACCACCTTGTTAGCAGCATACTTTTGTTGGCACTTTATATAGTCTGGTTTGTATTAAATACATTTTGACAACACTAACAAAGAAAAAGTCTGCCACTAGCACAAACCTTCATTTCCCTTTCAGCAACACCTTGTATATATGAAGAAACTAGAAAATCTCATGAAAGATATTAGCTAGAAAAACATCCATAGGAAGATATTTGTTTGTTAACAGGCAACTGGAGTTTCTAATTGTATGAGAAATCAACAGGAATTCTCCATGATTCTGATACTACTTCAGAATTGAGGGCATTACTAAGAGAGTTCCAAGGAATGAAATGAATGGACTGGAGCAATATTTTCTCTTTTCTTTCTTTTTTGAAGAACACGCATGAGATCTGCGGGTCTTGCATTAAGAGAGAAGAAAGGCTACAATAGCGAAGTACAATGAACATACATGACCAGAACAACAACCTTACATGACAGGCACGACCTTACAACCAAAACAACGTCCTGACCAAAGTAAAGGCTAGAAGATACCTTGAACGACGTTCAAGGTATCTTCTAGCCTTTACTTTGGTCAGCGTTCAAGGTATCTTCTAGCCTTTACTTTGGTCAGGATGTTGTTTTGGTTGTAAGGTTGTGCCTGTCGTGTAAGGTTGTTGTTCAAACAACTCCGGGTCTCCAACCAACACAACAGAATGAAACAAACAATTCCGACCAGCCACAAACCGAGAAGGAATTCAGATCCCATCATAAATGGTGTGACAGCTGTGGCGCTTGGCTACCAACGAAGGTGGCACAGAACTGCATATAGATGCTTCAAGCATCACCAGATCTGACCTATTTGCCACACAAAACTCGATAACTGAATTCATCTCTCAACAATCAATGGCTTCAAGGTGAGACCATAAATCCTTAATGTTCTTGACTAGTTCACAAATGTTGGGGGGTCCTCAAATTAGACAACAATTCGGCACACCTGCAGTGGTGTCACAAACTGGCAAGAGCTAGTGGTGATGGCAACCAAAGGCTACAAGCAACAATAGAACATCCTTACACTCTATTTCTCAAGAGTGTGGAATGACAATTTCCGCCTCAAATGACCAAATACCTCATGGATAGGCAGAGGTGAAGGCATGGTAGTGGCATCCAATGGAACCGAAGATGGAAGAGAATCAAGTCAACATAGTGATTGCAGCATGCTAATGGAGGTGGCGCAAGGAGGAGCAGCTTTTGACACAATTGGCCTTTCCACCGAGCACCCATTTGCTGGCAGTCAAGGGACAGAGCTGCTTGCAGTGGTAAGCTCTCCGACCATCATGCATACAAATGAAGTAGTGAGATCCATTCTTACAATTCTCAGCAAAGTGCTTGACAGAAGCAATTAAACCATAGACCGATGGTAGAGAGTGTGGCGACCGGCAGCGTGGAGTCATCCACAGTGGAGGAGTTTTCTCGGGAGCCAGCGGTGTCAGAGTGAGATGGCTCCTTCTCATTTCTTCAGGTGGCCACCACACCTCCCCGAACACCCTCATTTGCTCGAATGGTGCAGGCGTCAACCAATGGGAGAGATCCGCCGCCGGTCCCGTGAGCAGTAGAGAGGGAAGCATCCGGTTTGGTGGCGACTAATTGGGGAGAGAAGCAGCTTGTTTCCATGGTGACGGAGAGGTTGGCAACCAGTGACGAGGAATTGTTCGCCCAATCACCCTTAGAGGGTTCTCGAGCACTGTCAGCGTTGAATTCAGTTGTGCAGTGACCAAACGAGATGTTGGGATGACCAGGTGAGGGAGATGGACTTGATGGTGGAGGATTGTGGGAAGTGGGAAGTGGGAAGTGACAGGCATGAAGGAGGTTCAGCGACGGATCGACCATAGGAGCAGTGGGTACCGGTGGCAGAGGAAACACTAGACAGGTTTCCCTCCCCCTTGGCGTCGTGGCACAGGACTGAGCGATCATCCTCCTCAACAACCTTAAGCACTTGTTCTGAATAATTAAGGCCCTAAGCAATGCTTTCACCTTCAAAGCAGCATCTCACAAGTAGACTATAACAGTTCTGGATGCTCACGATCTTCGGAAGGCCTTGAGCCTTTGCAGCATGTACAAACTCCATTACTCCATATGAGGTCTCATTGGAAACACCAATATAGCGAACCTAAATTAGAGATAACATTCGATAATGATTAAAAACATGATATTCTTGATTATTTTCTGTATGAACTAACAGAACTGAGACAAAAACATAGAACTACTCAATGCGCTTCTACTTACACAATATTTACATGTTGATAAGCTACCTTTCGTATCAAAAACTACTTACATGGCTGTTATCAGATGCATGTTATGTAAAACATTCTAAAACATAGTACCAGCAAAGGTTGTAATTTGTAAGCTGCGTCCACACCAAGATCAGATATGTAACCATGTAGTTTTCATATTTACGCATGCCACAAAAAAATGTTTATTTGCTACAACTTTGTAGTTTGCACGTATAAGAATATCAATCATAGAAATCTTACCTTTCCTTCATCAATTAGCTCCTGGAAAGCCTTCAATTGTTCCTCAAAAGGGATGCTTGGCCTCCATTTGGTTGGATTATAACTAAATTCACCAAATAGTGCCACATACCTATCTGGCCTAGAGACAAAAAGAAAAAATTTGGAACCAAGACGTTTATTTCAATCAGTAGAATTACAAATAGATAATTTATATATAAAACCCAATCCATACATGAGCAGTAAAAGAACTCACGAAACTGCACTCAAAGAAAGCTGGTGTAAAAAAAAAAAGGAAACTACTTCAAACTGACAGGGTAAGGGTGAAACAAAATGAACTGGAATAGTGAAATGTACTTGGTTAGGAATCCCATGTGTTCTAACTTCTAATCCATGTTTTACAAGGAGCACAGCCAGAAGTCCGATAAGAAGTCAGTTAATATATGTTCGTTAGTTTTCTCTCTCTATTGACCAGCAATTTGAGAACCTGCTGAACCTTATATGAAGAATAGAATGGAAAAGGCACCTTCTGCCTCCAGACCAATGTCCTCAAACATGATTTTACATGATAAAAGGCATATTGACTTTCCTTATCATACATTTACCAGTTTCTTTAAAAAGATTGACACAATTCATTTTGTACGAGGGAAAAAAAAAGGCATAGCAATGTTTGAATGTATGTTGGTAAAAGGCTGACAACACACAGTGAAACTAAATATGGTTTTTGTCAGCCATACAGCAATACAAATGAATCAAGCTGACACTGACCAGTGTATCTGGAGCAAATCAATGTAATCTGTTGATAGGCGCTTGAGGCTCTTTTCAACACTTTCTTTGATATTGGCAGCATCAACACGCACCACTTCTGCATGGTCCCGAAGAAATGTAAACCTCTCTGAATAGCCGGCAACTTTGGTGGCCAAAATTATCTAAAATGCAAAGGAAAAACATAGGCAGGACCCATCTCTCAGTCAGACCTTTTAAACATGGCATTACATAATGGGAAACTTAGGGATTGTGCATTGTGAAGGGCAGACAGTGTTTATTCGTCAGTCTAGTGTTATAAGTAAAATTATGGTTCTAAACCATGGAATCAATTTCAAGGATGGAAGCAAGCATATTGCGTAAGAATCATTACTCATACTGCAATAATGAGTTAACCTTAACAGTTTTGAGTTCTGTGCCTACAAAATTGTTAGCCAGATTTAGTTGCAAACATATTGTAAGTTTGCAACATTAACATCTATTCAGGTTACCTTGTCTCGTGGCTTCAGTTGCATCCACCTGCCAATATAAAGATCAGTTCTCCCTTGATGTTCCTTTTTGAATGGAAGTGGGTACTAAAGACCAAAAGGAAAGATGGAAGTTGAAGAAAAAAACAAGTAGATCAATCTCTTAACTTGAATACAGAGAAAGAGATGTAGTTAATGAAAGCAAGGAAGTAATCTATACTGACAATTTCTGCTGTGTCTAGGATATTGACACCTTTATCAAAAGAATAAGAGAGCATATCATGTGCTTCCTTCTCTGTGTTTTGCTCTCCAAAAGTCATCTGGAAAGAAAAGAATTAACATTGAGATGCAAAAAAACTTTATTTTACAGTAAAGGAACAGTCGTTTCAAGTTTTATACATACCGTTCCAAGAGTGACCTCACTAATAAGGAGGTCTGAATCTCCCAGTTTCTGGTACTGCAGTTGTGTTTGCGCCACTGCCCGGACTTGGCTGTGGACGTGTCTCTTGTGCAAACTTTGAGAATGACGAGCATGGAGCGCCGATAAGGTAACGCCATGCGATGAACGGGAGGTTACGGTGAACGATGGCATGGTCATTTGCAGCATACTGAAACTCCTGCCTTGCACATCACAGCATCAAGCAAATTTCGTGCCATAAATTCAGTATGCCTCAAAAGCGAGACTCAACCTAGGAGGAACCACACAGATTTTTTATTTTGAAGAAAATGGGTGGTTAGGATGCAGGATGGAACCTCCCATCCGGACCAGCTGAGCTAAGCTCACTTCATATTAAGCGTGCCTCCAGAAACTAGAATCCTAGATAACAATGCCCAATGAAACGTTGCCACAACATCTTACATCATAGGAATAAATTATTTCATCTGTTTAGATTTCGGGAATGACCACAAAATTAGCAGTAGGCATAATGAATTAATGATAATAGAATGAAACACAGGTGTTGAACCCCTTGCCCCCACCCATTACAGGCAGTACCCAGTGGAGAATTCCTACCCTATTCCCATTTCCCACCGACTAATGCCGCAGGCAACTGCTTGTGCAGCTCCTTATTTGGACCGAACCGTTACTATTTCTACTGCTGCACTGCTACATCGAGCAATCATCAGGAGAAAGCAATGGGATATTTGGGATGAAATGCAGCCTACAACTACAAGAAACCTTGGAAGTTGGAACGATGCCTACCTTTTCAATAAAAAAAACGCAAGAGAAGAAGAAGAGGAATGGGACGGTACCTGTTTCCCGGCCCGGGTTGTATGGCCTCCCCGGCCAACCCAACCCGTACCTCGCCAGTCGCCAGCGAACTGAAGAAGCGCGGTTGGCGAGCTCCGCTGCTCCAGGATGGAGTAGAGGGAGAGGGCCCTGCACCTGCACTGAAGAAGCTGCAGGACTGGAGGTGCGGGTGCGGCGGTCCTTTCGGAAGCCGGTCGCCAAAGCCGGATGAGGCCAACAGAAGAACACGCGACGGCGTGGCGCGGATGGGTCATTGGCCTCATGGATGGCGGCAGCGAAAAGGTTCGCTGGTGGGCCCATCCTGCTTCTCCCTGAGGTTCCATCATAAGCCATTAAAAGATTGATTACTATCTCAACGACTCATTCAAAATATAAGACATATTCCATGTTTAAATATCTATTTTTTATTTTCTTCAACACCAAAACCTAAAAGAAAACCATTTCTGTAAAAGAAGTCTTTAGGAGATAGGATACTCAAATTTAGGTTGTGCCTCTCCTAACACCAAAAATCGGTCTCTTATATAGGTACTCTGTTGAAGACTGATACAGTACCGTCGGAGACCATTTTGAGTTTGAGTGCTCTTATGGGTCACCTGATGGAGACAGTCTTAGGCCCAGCCCATAATTTTCTGCTTACGTTGGGGCAAACCATGCCTTTACTCAAAAGCTTATCCCTTGGGGATCCTAGCCACTCAGCCAGACCCACGGAGGCCTTTTTTCGACGCTCCTAGCGCCCGGACGCCTGGTGCGAGCGCCCGTCCTAACACCCCTCGGGGCCGTTTGATTAACATCTCTGGAACCATCCGATCCTGACCAAAGCAACGTAACAATTCGATATGAGCATACCAAATCCGGAGGAGCGTCCGCCCATGCCCGTCGTGGCGGCCCATTCCCCCGCGGCTCGCGCTCGGCCCGTTCCCTCGCCGCGCGCGTGTCCCTTGTCCCCCACCGCACCCGTTCCCCACGACGCCCCTGTCCTGTTCCCCACCGTACCTCGTTCCCCACTGCGCCCCCTATCCTAAGAAAACAAAACACCTTCAAGTGCAATATCGCAAAACTATGTAACTATATAGTGCAATATCGGGATATAAAAACTGCAACATCGCTAAACTATGTAGTGCAACATTAAAAAAAATATATTGCAACATAGGAAATTATGTAATGCAACATTGAAAATTTTGTACTGCAACATTTGAAACAATAGTATTGCAACGTCGCAAAATCAAACATGAAACATGGGAATGAAAACATCTAAAAAATCATCTTTTAGTGCTGCAACATTTGAAAAAGGTAATTTCAACAATTAAGATCCCATATTACAATAATCCCAACATTAGAATTCCCTTTTTGCAACACATGAAATCACCTATTGCAACATACGAAAATCATATGTTGCGACATCCAAAAATCCCCCTTGCAACACGGAGAAACAACAAAAAAAAGGCATACAAAACAACAAGGTATAGGTTCGAGGTGCAGCCCGCTCCAGCCCCTGGCTCATCACCTTCGAGCTCCCGGAGGGAGGAGGGAATATGACCACAGAGGTCGCCGGAACCCTAGCCACCGCCGCGTCCCTCAGATCCAGAGGAGGAGGAGGGCTCAGATCCAGAAGAGGAATAACCTACCTCGTCGATGTCGCCGCCGTCATCCTCGTCTCCGGTGGGGGGAGCGGGAGCCGGGTCGTAATGGAGGTCGCGGAGGGGAGAGTGAGGGAGGGAGCACGCGGCGGGCGCGGCGTCCGTCCCGAGGCGCTAGCAGGCTCCGAGCTTGGCATGGCGCTGGCGGCAACGAGTGGGCGAGCAGAGCGGGGCTGTCGGGCGTCACGGGTCGCATCCGGACGTGAGTTTGGGGACGAACGTCCTAGTAGAATCAATATCTTTTTTTCCCAGAGGCCATCTTGTGATGATCTTTTTTCTTCTTTTCATTTGAGTAGTGATGAACGTATTAATCTGGCACCTGGCCTTTGATCGATATTAAGAGTTATAAGCTTTTATAATCTTGATCGACATTTTCTAACCAATCATAAGTTTTATATAATTGTTATAAATAATATAACATGAAATAAATAATTAATTAAAAATTTAAAAGACCGTACTACATATGTTGGAGCATCGTGCCTTACCTGTACCTGGCCCTTGGCTTTCATCGTCTTTATTACCAGCCGTGCAAGCATCCACTAGTGTCACTGTCCATAGGGCCAGCGAGAAACAAAAGCAGCAAGCCCAAGCCGGCCTAAATTAATGAATCATCACGAGAGGCTGACTAGCCCCGCTCGTCGCTCGTCGGCACGTAAAACTAATCATCACGAGAATACCCCTGGTACGCGGCCACCCGGGAATCTGCTCTCAGTCGTCCATCCCCGAAGATGGGCCAACTCCAACCCTCCGATCCCATCACGGGCTGTTTACGGGCCTTACCGACTGAAGGCTATTCCGGTAACTTCCGCACGTGCACTTTTGGACCACCACCACCTCCCAGATATTTCTCCCTTGGGCCCACGGTTCAATTACGTAGTACTCCGAGTACCTTGGTCACCGGTTTTCTCGGTTGACGCTGGATGACAGTGGGACCAAGGGGAGCTTCTGGGCCCAGATGGCGGTGTGCGTTGGGTAACTGACGCGGGAAACGAGCACGATGGCATGGCAACCGCAGCAGCCCGCACCGTCTTCTTGCTTCGTCTCTCTCGCCTGGGCAGCTGGGCTCGCCGCGACCCGCGAGGGAGGGAAAGGGACAGAGGAAGAGAGAGAAACTGAAGAAAACCATTTCTTTTCTCTTGCTTAGTGAAACAACACAGACCAGTGGGAGAGGGAGAGAGAAGAAGATGACGATAAACAATACATAAAAAAAGGCAGCGAGCCAGGTGGGGAAAAAAAGGGCGAGGCGATAGAGAGAGAGAAGGCGAGGGAGGGATCACGAGGTGTGCTTCCTCCTCCGCTCCCCCCAATCGGGCCCAACCAAATCCGCCAGCGCCGCCTCCTTTATACTCCCTCCCACCTCTTTCCCCGGAGCTAAAAGGGAGGAGGGAGAGCCTCGCTTCGCTTCTTGGATCGCGGGGGGGTCACGGGACGCGCGCCGCGGGCCGGTACGCTAGCTGCTGCTGGTGGACTGCTCGTCTCGACCCTTGCCTAGCCTACCAGCTGCTGCTGTGCTGCTTTGGCTGGCGCCGGCGAGAGAGAGAGGCGGAGGACGACGACGATGGACCGGGCGGCGCTCACCGTGGGACCGGGGATGGACATGCCCATAATGCACGACGGCGACCGCTACGAGCTCGTCCGCGACATCGGCTCCGGCAACTTCGGCGTCGCGCGCCTCATGCGCAACCGCGCCGACGGCCAGCTCGTCGCCGTCAAGTACATCGAGCGAGGCGAGAAGGTTGGTTTTCGCTAGTATTTGCTACCGTGCCTTGCTCTCGTCTCGTCTGCCTGCCTGCCTGCCTCTCCAACACCAACATCATCAACCACCCGCCCACTGCAGATTGACGAGAACGTGCAGCGGGAGATCATCAACCACCGCTCCCTGCGCCACTCCAACATCATCCGCTTCAAGGAGGTCATCCTCACCCCGACGCATCTCGCCATCGTCATGGAGTACGCCTCCGGCGGGGAGCTCTTCGAGCGCATCTGCAACGCCGGCAGATTCAGCGAGGACGAGGTCCATGTCTTTCATCTTCTCTCGCTATCAACCCTGCTTGTTGCTCGTGCTGTCTTCTGTACTATTTGCCACTCATGTCCTGTACAAACACAGTTGACTAACTAATCAACTGTCAAAGCTCCTTTCAGGCTCGTTTCTTTTTCCAGCAACTCATATCAGGGGTCAGCTACTGCCATTCCATGGTACTAGTACTCTTTATTTTCTTTTCCTTCCAGTATTATTACCAAATATAGCATGTGGATCGTCAATCTTTACTGCTCTGGTCTGGTCTGATTAAATTTGCTCTGTTTTCTGCCTACCTCTTTGTCAAGCAAGTATGCCATCGTGACTTGAAGCTAGAGAATACCCTGTTGGACGGGAGCACCACTCCTCGCCTCAAGATATGTGATTTCGGCTACTCAAAGGTACTGCTACATGCTCACTTTGTTTATTTACGAATTTAGTGGGGAAATGAAATGCAGTTGCAGTTAACAGGGCACTCTTTACCCTGTTAGTATACCAAATGAGGAGTAAGATTATTGATAACTGTAATTAGCACCCCATGACATAGTCAAGAAAAAATTAACTGAAATCATCTTCTTATAATTTAGTAGATATTGTTATCAGGTGCCTTCCAAAAGAAAAAGAAAAAGAAAAAAATGGTCATCTTGTGGGAAATTTGTCTCCTTAAACTGTTGCTCTGCTTATAACTCTTTTTGCATTGCAGTCATCAGTTCTACACTCTCAGCCCAAATCTACAGTGGGAACTCCTGCATACATTGCTCCTGAGGTTCTTCTGAAGAAGGAATACGATGGAAAGGTATTATGCTATTGTCATTGATGATTCTACACTTTCCATACTGTTTCTATTCAACACAAAAAAAAAATGTGTGCTATTGTTCTCCACTTGAGCAACATGTTTGTGTGGTAAAGCATTTATACATGCATAGTGTGTAGCCATGTATAGTAGGGAACTATATGTTGGAAGGCTAGAATGCTAAATCAGTCACTAACTCTTTGTTACTGATTCAAGGTTGCTGATGTGTGGTCATGTGGAGTAACCCTTTATGTGATGCTGGTTGGTGCATATCCATTTGAGGACCCAGATGAGCCTAAGAATTTCAGGAAGACAATTCAGGTTTCCTTTGCAGACGTATTTACATCAGCGTTTCTGAATTGGCTGCCCATTTTGATCAAACACTGACAAGATTTGTTTTGCAGAGGATATTGGGTGTGCAGTACTCGATTCCAGACTATGTCCACATATCTCCAGAATGCCAAGATCTTATTTCTAGGATTTTTGTCGCCAACCCAGCCACTGTGAGTACTTTCAGCTTCTAGTGTTTCATTAGTTTCTGCACATGTCTGCTTTGAGCACATCACTGACATTCCATGTACAGAGGATCACCATCCCTGAGATAAGAAACCTTCCTTGGTTCTTGAAGAACCTCCCAGCTGACCTAATGGATGATAGCACAATGAGCAAGCAGTATGAGGAGCCTGAACAACCGATGCAGAGCATAGATGACATCATGCAGATCCTGGCCGAGGCGACCATTCCAGCAGCTGGTTCGCGTGGACTCAACCAGTTCCTGAACGATGGCCTTGACCTCGACGATGACATGGAGGACCTAGACTCAGATGCCGATCTTGACCTGGAAAGCAGTGGGGAGATCGTGTATGCTATGTGACAGCATCGAATACTCAGCAACGAGGCAATGTGTATCATCAGCTGCGCTCAGATGGTTTTGTTGCGTTGCAGGTTACCAAGATAAATAGTGGGACGAAAAGGGGTGTGTGCTGCTGGTAGTTGTATTGGACTTGCAGGTATCTGCTGCAGATGCTGCTCAGGCGGTCATGCCTGATGCCGTGATGCCCCTTTTTATCACCATGGCCCCGTTCGCTGGTCTGAAACTTGGCTGAAACTGGCTGGTTTTGTGAGAGAGAAACACTGTAACGGCTGGTTGATAAATAGTGTTCTGTGAGGGTGTTCAGCCGGCTGGTTGTTGTTTGGTGCACCTCCAGTGTTTTACAACAGTTTAGCCCTTTGGAATTGCTACTGCTAGAACCTCGTTCATCTGAGAAGACCCTTTGTTTCTGCATCCCCAACTAAGGGACAGCGATGTACTTGTATTATTACACTGTGTTTGTATCATTTGTATCATATATGTATTTGGTGTAGGAAAATAAAGAAACTCCATTGCCCGTTCTCTTTTCCATCTTTATTTCATCCGTATCTCATCTCACGATATTTTGGGAACCCACCGAAGATCTTTCTCAATTTTTGTGTCTTTTGACTTCTGTATCTCATCAAGGTTGAATCACAAAGGCACTATCTTTGAAACGACTGCCACTTATTTAAATGTTTATTATAGATTTAGTGGTTGTATGCTTTCATAGTTGGTATAAAGAATGGAATATTGTAATCCAACTAAGATAAAAAAAATCTTTTTCTACCATCACCTTCCGGTATATCTTTATTCACCTTCAGTGAATTTTGCTGAGCAGCTCCTGTACCTGGCATAATAGAAGATTCACATACGAAATACAAAAGAAAAAAGATGGTAAACTGGACCAGATGAGCTTCTGTACCTTATATTTCATCAAAGAACTTAAACCAACATGCCTCATCTGAAGAGTAAACAGGCACCATGCATGTATATTGATTATTACAGTGTGTCATTGCACAACCTTACATACATACATCGATCAAGCCACTTATTTATGCATACACACGATCAAACGTCAGTATGTCACAGTGTTGTACACAGCATGCAACGGATGGGGTGGCACCAAGGCAGCAGTTCAGAACTATGGTCTATGGAGCAAGCAGGGGGTTCACCACATGACCGACGAACAGCAGCGCACCAGTTGTGTCTTCACGAATCAGGAACAGGAAAGGGTGATCCGCGATGAAATCCGTGAGCATCCTGTATGAACGGGGCATAATTACTGCAGCAGATGCGGCGGCGGCCTCCGTTCCTTCCTCGTTTACTTCGACAAAGGACTTGTGGAAAATGGATGAAACACACAGGTTCTGTCCTGCTGGCAAATGAACCAACTCTGACAGATCTGCTTGTGAGCTAAATGGTAGCTCAAGCCCCAATCCTTTTAGCAAATCGGTTGCTTCGAACCCAAAGGAAACCTTGAACTTGGGGACTTTGAACTGCCCAACCGGAACCTTCCTCGTCGGGACATGCTCCTCCATGAACTCGGGCTCAGAGCTCAATTTTTCAGCCAAGCTCCAGAGTCCATCTCGTCCTTCTGGAAGAAGTATGTACATGGAGAACTGCCTCTTATCCTCACCTCGTTGGTAAGGGAGCTTAAGCACCTTAAAGTTGTCGTAAGACGCAATATATTGATCCTCTCTGCTGGACATGAAAGGTGCTTGAACTGAGCCCCCATCAAGGTGGTGGAACTCACCGTCTTTTGTCTGAGATGCGTCGAACTTCTCAGTCCAAGCTCCTTTGAAATAGAGTGCATTGCCAAGAACCAGCCTGGTGGTCTGATCAACAGATCCCGGTGGCAGCAGCTCTTTGATTAGACCTGAGGTCACTTTCTCTACCCAGCAGTTCACTTCACCAGCAACTTGTGCTGCCTGGCAAAAAAGAGAGAAAAAAATACAGAATCTAAATTACAGTTTATATTATACACTGTGTAACAGATCAAGGCACATCAACTAACGGGTACAAATATCAAATCACAAAGCAACAAATGCATAGTCTGATGAGATAAGATATGCATCAGAAAGCATGCATCATATTGGCACCAAAAGAAACTAATGATACTTCCATAGTTCAAGAAAACCATAATGATCATATTACTCAACAGTGACCACAAACATTTTTAACACAATAGTGACATAAAACTTGCAGTGTTTATTCTATAGTAAAGGTCCGAACTTGACTAAATATTTTTCAGTCCAAATTCACATACAACAAGTAAAATTTCTGAAAGAGACACCTATGTAGGACAGTAGGAGTAGTATGTAACTGCACCGTTTAACTCTTCAATACAGAGACATGCTAAATAATACTCCCAGTGTCAACTAAGGATTTTCTACGGTCTCAACTGTAGGTATTATAGATTAAACATAAATGAACCAATTCCTAGAATGATTGTAGAAATTGCAATATTTTTGCTTTAAATTACAGCAATATTTTATGCCAGTTGTTTGCAAGCAAGAGAGTAAACCTTTTCCCTGAAGTCGACAGAGTGCGTCTCGGCCTTGTACTTTCCGACGGCGACATCCTCGAAGGCCGACTTCAGCTTCAGCGACGCGTCGACGAAGACAGCGTCGGCGAAGGCGACCCGCGGGCCGCCGGCTCCGGACCCGTCAGCGAGCACGAGCTGCACCACCTGCTCAGAGAGCGCGTGCAGGATCTCGGCTGCGACCGGCTCATCTCCTCCGCCGAGCGCGGTGAGCAGCTGATCGCGCGTGGCGTGGCCCGCGCCGGCGGCGAGGAGGCTGAGCACGACGTGGAGGGAGAGCGGGGAGAAGGCGGTGTTTCTGGCGGGGGCGGCGGTGTTCGAGGAGAGCGCGGCGGTGAGGCGGAGCGCGAAGCGTGTCTGGCCAGCGATGGGGCGGCGGATGTCGGCGCTGGCCATGGTCGGTCGGGGCCGGGGTGGTGGTTTCTTGGACACGCAGGAGAAGGACGGAAAGCGGCGTGAGAAGCACATCTGGTGGTGGCTCGCTCCTTGCATGCACAGAATCAATATTCTACTCCCTCGCATCGAACTGAAAACTTGCGTCGAACCAAGGAATCTTTTCCTACGGACCTACGGTTCAGTTGCTCCGGTGTGTGAATCGAACTTTCACTGCTTTCTGTTTCCTTGCGTCGAACCAAGGAATCTTTTCCTACGGTTCAGTTGCTCCGGTGTGTGAATCGAACTTTCACTGCTTTCTCTTTCCCCTCGGTTCGTTTGTCTGGCGCACTAGAGCTGCTCTTACAAGTAAATTTAGTTACGAAAATCCTTGATTTACAGCCTTTCAGCCAGTTGTTGCATTTTTTTGACGTTCATGAAACTATATTTCGTTTTTTCAACCTTTTTTACCGAGGTGTTAAGTTCGAACTCTAATTTCTATTGTATCTTATACTCAATATTTTCCTTCATATTTTACCAGAAATCAGATTTGTTGGGGGGCGAAGCCTTGTACTCGGGGTGCCAATATAATCATCAATAAAGTGTTGTGGCTAAGTTGGTTAGGAGCATATGATGAGTTTTTGCTCTCTTGTTTTGAAGAATCTATGTCATTACAGATGTCACTGGAAAAGGTCACTTGAACGAGAAACATCAGAGTGAAAGAAGGAAACCGTAAGTACCATGAGTCCATGACCATACATATCAATTCTGAACTATCATCTCACAACCTTACATACATCGATCAAGCATCTATTTATTCAAAAACAAAACATGGCAGATTACACAGGAAGCTGATCACTTGTCATAGCCATGCATTTGTGCGACAGGATGGAACCGCACCAACCAACAAGGTCGCGATTTTGAACAAACACACTACGGAGCAAGGAGGGGATTCACCACATGGCCGACAAACAGCACCACACCAGTCAAGTCTTCTCGGATCAGGAACAGGAAGGGGTGATCTGCGACGAAATCCTGAGGCATCGTGAATGACCGGAGCACAACTGTTGCAGCAGATGCGGCGGCAGCCTCCGTTCCTTCCTCATTCACTTCAACAAATGACTTGTGGAATATGGACGAAACAGACAAGTTCCGACCCTCAGGTGAATCAACTAACTCTGATAGATCTGCTTCTGCGCTGAACGGAAGCTGGAGCCCAAGACCTTTGAGCAATTTAGATGCCTCAAATCCAAAGGATATCTTGAACTTGGGGACCTTGAACTGTCCAACTGGAACCTTCTGCATTGGGATATGCTTCTCCAGGAACTCTGGTTCAGAGCTCAACTTTTCAGCCAAGCTCCAGATACCATCTCTTGCATCTGGAAGTAGAATGTACATGGAGAATTGCCTCTTGTCCCCACCTTGCTGGTATGGAAGTTTAAGCACCTTTAAGTTGTTGTAAGACACAATATATTGCTTTTCTGTACTGGACATGAATGGTGCTTGAACTGAGCTCCCATCAAGAAGGTGGAACTCACTATCTTTTGTTTTAGATGCATCAAACTTCTCAGTCCAAGCTCCTTTAAAATAGAGCGCATTACCAAGAACAAGCCTGGTGGTGTGGTCAACAGAACCTGGGGGGAGGATCTCTTTGATGAGACCAGATGTAATTTTTTCTACCCATGAGTTCACTTGACCAGCAGCTTCAGCAGCCTGACCAATAAGAGAGAATATATCAGTGCTTCATACTCCTGTCAAAAGCATAAAACAAAATCATCCTGAAGTTTCCAAAAGAACTGAAATAGTGCAAGGATATAAGCACGTAAAGAAACTGAGGCAACCATTATATATTAACATGCCACCAACTTAAACAAAAAAGAAATCGTTTCTAATCAAACAGACTTTAGAAATTGAGAAGTGAACCAAGCATTAGTGTAGTACCATTATCACAGAGCATTCATATGAGAAGGAAAGTATATGCAACAAGAGACAGTTCACATGCTTATAATCATCTAAACAGTCAAGATACAACAATATATGCATAGTACAAGAGACCGCGGCAGAAACCTACTGGAGAAAATGCTAATACATTCAACTGTATATCCACATTATCTAAATGTTCTAGTTACTTCAAAATGTTGGCAGTGATCTGAACAGATTGCTGCAGCTACAGATGTAGCTCCACCACTGCGTGTTACTGTAGCAGCTATTGTGGGATTGCAGCCGCATCAATCTGAAACGAGAAGGCTGATTCCTAATGATCCAAATTACATATTTAGCTCTAGAGCCTGAAATAATAAAAGTCACTGGTCCAAGCCTTCAAAATCTCAAGTACGCACCTAGTGAGAACTGAAAAATCCTAAAAGGGTGATAAATCCTGAGTTTGCTAATTATGCTACAACAACAACATCCATACATATTACTCATTAACAGGCCAGCACCCATCAAAAATGAATGGAAATAACAAATTCCATGGCAAAATTCACTGAACAGTAAATAGCACAATTTGATGAGAGAAACTGCGAAAAAGCATCATCTTAGCATAAAAGTAATTATATCTGTCTAAACATATATTGTAAAAGGCTTAGACTTATTATTTCTAAAAAAATCATGGTTTACAAGATTAAGCACTGTTAAGTGTTAGGCCACAAAGATTAGGAAAGAAGTAAAGATCTAAAAGCACCTGTGTGACATATGAATGTATATATAAAGGAAGATCTACAGTAAACATTATTATGACTTAATTCATGAGTTAAGGAGAAATCAGCCACTTAATAACTCTGACATGAGTATCAATGATGTATAAATGCACATAAAAAATGAAGCAGAAGGCACTAGACAATCTGTCCATAGCAGAAATAGCAAGATTTGATTCATATATCCAGGCAAACAACCTTTAGTAGCTATGGTAGCAGTTCGCAAGTCTTAAGCAGGAGCTCGGGAGGAAGGGGAACAACCTTTTTCTGGAAACTGAGTAAACCATTATATATTAACGTGCCATATACTTAAACAAAAAAGAAACCGTTTCTAATCAAACAGACTTTAGAAATTGAGAAGTGAACCAAGCATCAGTGTAGTACCATTATCACAGAGCATTCATATGAGAAGGAAATTATATGCAACAAGAGAGAGTTCACGTGACTATAATCATCTAAACTGTCAAGATACAACAATATATGCATAGTACAAGAGACCGCGGCAGAAACCTACTGGAGAAAATGCTGATACATTCAACTGTATATCCACATTATTTAAATATTCTAGTAACTTCTAAATATTGGCTGTGAGCAGAACATATTACTGCAGCTACAGATGCAGCTCCACCACTGCGTGTTACTGTAAGAACTATTGTGGAATTATTGCAGCTTCAGCTGCAGCAATCTGAACCGATCAGGCTGATTCCTAATGATCCAAATTACATATTTAGCTCTAGGGACTGAAATAGTAAAAGTCACTGGTCCAAGCCTTCAAAATCTCAAGTACACACCTATTAAGAACTGAAAAATCCAAAAAGAGGGTCATAAATCCTGACTTTGTTAATTATCCTAAAACAACATCCATACATATTACTCACTAACAGGGCAGCACCCATCAAATAATGAATGGAAAATTGGAAATAACAAATTCCACGGCAAAATCCAGACTGAACAGTAAATAGCACAATTGGATGAGAGAAACAACAAAGTAATTATATGTCTAAACATATATTGTAAAAGGCTTAGACTTATTATTTCTAAAAAATCATGGTATGTTACAAGTTTAAGCACCGTTAAGTGTTAGGCCACAAAGATTAGGAAAGAAGTAAAGAGTAAAGGCACCTATGTGACATATAATGACTGTATATATAAGGAACATCTACAGACTACAGTAAACATTATTACGCTTAATTTTATGAGTTAAGGAGAAATCAGCCACTTAATAACTCTGACATGAGTATCAATGATGTATAAATGCCCATAAAAACGTATCTGAAATGAGTATCAGTGATGTATAAATGCACATAAAAAATAAATCAGAAGGTACTAGCCAATATGTGCCATAGCAGAAATAGCAAGATTTGATTCATATCCAGGCAAACAATCTTTAGTAGCTATGGTAGCAGTTCGCAAGTCTTAAGCAGGAGCTTGGGAGGAAGGGGAACAACCTTTTTCTGGAAGTCGACGGACTGGGTATCGGCCCTGTACTTTCCCACAGCGACCTCCTCGAAGGCCGGCTTGAGCTTGAGCGACGCGTCGACGAAGACGCCGTCGGCGAAGGCGACGCGCGGGCCGCCGGCGCCGGACCCGTCGGCGAGCACGAGCTGCACCACCTGCTCGGCGAGCGCGTGGAGGCCCTCGGCCGCGCCGGAAGGCGCGCCGCCTCCTCCTAGGGTGGCGGCGAGCTGGTCGCGCGTGGCGCCGCCCGCGCCGGCGGCGAGGAGGCTGAGCGCGATGTGGAGGGAGAGCGGGGAGAAGGCGGCGTTGCTGGCGGGGGCGGCGGGGGAGGAGAGCGCGGCGGCGAGGCGCAGCGCGAAGCGGGTCTGGTGCCCGATGGAGACGCGGATGTCGGCGGTGGCCATGGTCGGTGTCGGTAGGTCCACTTGGGCTGAGACCTGAGACTCCCCGAGGAAGAAACGGGGGGCTGGCTGATCACTGACCGGGGTGTGGCGATTTCCAAGTCTTGCAGGGTGTTTTCCGGGTATTTTGCTGGACAGCAACAAGCTCCAGGCGAAGAAAGCTCTGCTCTGCTTCCATGCTAAGCAACAGGCGTCAGGGCAGGGCCCATGGGTTGCTGGCTTTGCTGCCAGGTGCCAAGAGCCCAAGACCCAAGATCCTCCGTGGGCCGTGGCTACTGGATAGTGGCGATCATATTACGAAATCAATTTCCGGGTTTGCGGAGGTAGTGTATAATTCTAAAAAAAAAAAGATTTAGTAGATATAATAATAAATTCAACTTATTCTATCTATAAACATTGAACGCAGTATTATTTTTGAAGTCAAACTTTTAAACAATTAATAAGATATTACGAAATCAATTTCCAAGTTAAAGCTATCATCAAGATCTAGTAGAAATAATAATAAATCTGTCGGTACAGAAAGTGACCAACTAATGAATATTTGTAGTTTTGTTGTACGTTGTGATCGGAGGTGGCCTAGCACTCAATGACAAAGGATTTATACTGGTTCAGACAACGTGCCCTACGTCCAGTGTGGATCGGTCGGTGACTTTCTTCCTGAGCTCAGGTGCTTGAAGTCTGTAGTGGAGTTATAAACGAGAAGGAGAAAAGAGGGGTGTACGAGAGGCCTGGTCGGGTCCGACCGGAAGGACCGAGGGCAACCGGAACTCCGCTATGAGATGGATGTTCAAGTGTGTGCTCGAGGGGTTGCGAGCTATCGGTCTAGTGAGTCTAAACTCGAAGAAGATCGTCGTCCTGTTGGAGGGAGCGCATCCCCTTTTATAGAAGAAGGAGATGGCTTTACAGGTGAGAGGGTGAGAGTACGGATGTTACGATGTTTTGTTGCCCACGCTGACGAGAAGTGGATAATGATAGGCGGCCACAACACTGTTGATGTCACTGTAGAATGTCAGGTACACGTGGGAGGTTGCGGTGGCTTCTTCAGGAAGGGTGGTCATCGATACCTACAAAATATGTGAGAAGCCCCACCACGTGTATCAGATATGGTGGATCCTGACGCCCCCTATCGATGCCCAGAGGCATGGAGGGCCTTTTACCGTATGGGAGCCCAACGGCGCCCATAATACTGTAGATACAAATATCGGTGCCTATAATACTGTTTGTGTCAGAGCGGTCGTGGAGCACTGTTTCCGCAGGCGTACAGGGTATGGTCCTGGTATCGTGGTTTAACTTAGTGTGCTGCCTTCTCCGTTCGTCCCTTGTCCCTTCCGAGCGGGCATCCCCGGTCGGATGGCTCCAGTCGGCCCTGGCCGCGCCAGTCGGAGAAGAGCGGTCCGTAGGCTTCGGACGAGTCCCCAGTCGGAGTCACGGGGTCGGAGTAGGAAGCAGCGTTTTGGGCCAGGCCTTCCGATCGGAGAGGCCACCTAGAGGCAGCCGGTGCCAGGAGCGAGCGCTTCGGTCGGAGAGGTGGGCCGAAGAAGCTGACAAGCGGGTGTTTGCCCTTTCGGGTAGACCTCCCGGTCGGCGACCGGACTGTCCTCCTGGCCCGTTGTCTTTTAGATTTTTGGGCCGGCCCATGGACTACATGCTGTTTTCCTGGGCCGAGCCTTGGCGTGGAAGCCGGTCCTCGAGGGACCCCGGGTTTATGAACCCGACAGGAGCCCCTGAGCCCCCGGGCGATTTGAGCCGAATCGTCCGGGGGATTTTTGTCTTAACGGCGGGTGTAGCCCCTGAGCCCCCGGGCGGTTCGGACAGAACTGGCTGGGGGGTTTTTCTGTGGTGTCAGCGGGGGAGGTTTTTTCTGTTGTATCGGCGGGTGCGCGCGAGCGCACCTGCGGGTGTAGCCCCCGAGCCCCCGGGCGGTTCGGGCCGAACCGTCAAGGGGGTGTTTGTTTCACTAGGCGTGTGTGAGTGTTTTGAGACAGAACTTTTGTTTAGCCATGGCGTCGTTGCGTAGCCGAGGCGGTTTCTAGGCGCGGAAATGAGACAGAGCTTACTGACCCTGGCGTCGGTGCGCGCCGTGGATCGGGTGATAGGTTTATAGTTCGGAAAAAAGCCCAGGCGTCGGTGCGCGCCATGGATGGAGATAGCTTGGTTCGAACGTGTTTAGAGCTCGCTGATCTTTGGCATCGATGCGTGCCGCGTGATCGAGCGAGGCGGGGCTACGAACGGTCCCAGGCGTCGTTGCGCGCCATGGATCTGAGAGAGTTAGTTTGGTTAGTTCAGGAGCCAGGCGAGCCGGAGCTCGTGGACCCTGGGAGCATAGTCGGAAGTGAAGTCATGTTGAAGCCGTTACGCGAGTTAAGGAGTCGCGGTCCCAGGAGCCGTAGCCGGATGTCATAGATCCTATCGATGCGAGTTCGGGGTCGTGGTCCCAAGAGCCGTAGCCGGATGTCATAGATCCTGTTGACGCGAGTTCGGGGTCACGGTCCCTAGGTTTCTTGGAGCGCAGTGAAGCCGTCTGAAGCCATTTTGAAGTCGAAGCGTAGTTAGTTGGTTAAAGATCGGACGAGGCGATGCTCGCGGACCCTGGCGTCGGTGGACGCTGTGGGATCGGGCGAGTCGGAGTTGTGGATCTGGCGAGTTCGAGGTCGCTATCCTTGGCATTTTTCTTGAGCCCCCGAGCCCTATCGGGCCTTTCACGAGGGTCGATGTGAGCATTGTGCGTTACCCCATCCTCGGTTCCTCACAACCGGAGGGGCTGAGTTTTGTCGCCTGTTGAAGCGACCTCAATTTCCGCGAAGGGAAATCCACAGTGTCGAAGTGTAATAAGACCGTTGTAGATCATATTACCCAAATTCCAGTCAAATATCACATCCATACAACGATAATATCAGAGTACAAATATTGCAGAATTACATAAATTTATTATATCGCCGCATTGGCGGAATCAAAAGTAGCATTCATTCAGAATAGCTTGAAGATAAGATCGCCAAACTCGAGCGTAGGAACGAACCCCTCAACCGTCAAACTCCTCGGAGCTATACTCCTCAGCAGAACCTGTGTGCCAAAATTTATCAGTACGATTTGTACTGGCCACTCCCACCCTATGAGCATTGCTTTGTGGAAATTGGATGCAAGTTGGATATAATCGAAAGGAACCTATAAGGCCGGGGTTTCCTATGCATTAGCATTTCAAGTATATATTAACAGTTGGTCAAGTTTTAACACCATTCCCACACCCATTCCACCCCATTCCCATTCCAGAGCCAGGTTTCGATCCGGGGATCGATATACCACCATCTCCACACCATTTCCATACCACACCCATACCATCGCTTAGTCGACAGGCCAACTCCCTCTCGGCACTGTCTCAAGGCCCGTAGCCCCTGGCTACATTCGAACACTCACTCCCAGGGGGAGAAGAGAAGGACTCATCTCACTATCTAGTTTAAGCGAAACCCAGGAAAGGTCTATAGCCGACAAGTCGGCATATGTATCGATCGATCAACCATACACTCTGCAGAGGTTTTACATAACCACAAGATCCGCCTTCCTCTTTGATCATCATCAACTGGGCTGATTCCGGCCGCTTGCTAGCCTAGGATAATGCCACTCTACCATTCAGCCCTGGTACACCCCAAGTCCGGTCTGGGGTGGCTGAAACTGTGAGTCATGAACCGAGTCCACAAGGTCTCCATGAAGTCTCAAAAGGGTGTGGGGGGGGGATCCTCCGCACCCCGTACCTCCCTCACACTGTCCGCTATCAACCTAGCAGTAGTGGTAATATCCTACCAAGTAGTCCAGCCGTCCCGCACCATATAGGGCGAGTGGTACGTAAGACTTCCCGGTGAATCTGAGTACTAGTAAGTCCTTAGGGATGACCAAGCCAGAATGTCTTCACCAGGGTTTCCATTTACCGTGCCACCACAGCACCTCCACCCTGGGCTCCTCCCATCACAGGTTCACACCCAGGGCCACCTCATATACCATTTACCCACCATAGGTATCCATTCTAGGGGTGCCCAGGTAGCACCCCACGGCAAGACTTGCCCCAGGCTCGTCGAATACTCCAACTTGGTCGACACAACCCTCACCCTCCATGCACCCAAGTCACACACGCAGCACTCTCCCCATGGTCCAGTTAACACCAGTTTCCACCACGCATCAATGTAGTGCAAGCATAGTAGAAGTAATAAGCAATGAAATATAATAGCAAGCGTGTGACTAGCCTAACAGCAGGGTGAGCAGGGATAAGGTTACGTCAAGGTAAAGGCCATCAAGAAAGCATACTATCATGCAAGTCCTACCATAGTGTGATCACGACAATAAAGTAAAGCACTAGCATTTCTATTTTAGCCATGCGTAATAGGTGCTACAAGATTGGGTGGGATGTGACACCTTTAGTGTAGTCGTCTCCGTACTCCTCACGGTACTCACGATCCTCGTCTGTCTGGTTCTCCTCTGAGTCTGTAAATGATCGCGTTATAGTCGCGTAAACGACGTCTATAGAATAGCACAAAGAAGCAATGAAAATTCAAAAGAGCCAAATGCACTCAAACATGGGTTCATTGTGTAGAGCTCGATTTTAGATGAATTTTGGTCCTAGTTTCGTATTTTTCTGAGGTCATATGAATTAGTTATGAATTTCCGAAGTTTAAATCATTTCTGAAAATGAAAAAGGCTGAATTGATCCTGGGCTGACACGTGTCACGCTGTGACTGGTCCACGTGGCATGATGATGTCAGCATAACGTCAGCATGATGTCATTGTCTCGGTTTCATGCTGACAGGTGGGGTCCAGCTGACGTCAGCAACGTCATCAGTTCTGACAGGTGGTCCAGGGGCTCTGGGGTCATTGACATGTGGGTCCGGTCAAAGTCAACATCAGTCAACGGCGAGTCAACGGTCAGGGTCACTGACGTGTGGGGCCAGGGCTGCTGACGTCAGCAGCTGATGTCATCGTGACGTCAGCATGACGTCACCCTAGCTGTGTTGGCGTCT